CTTCAATTTCTAATTTAGAGATGGCTCTCAAGAGCCTTCTTGAAGTGATCTTATCATCTGTAGGTGGACTCTAGGTAGCTATGGGCATTTATCATCCAACTATTGGGAAAAGAAAGGTCTTTAGCTGCATTTCATACCACTCAGTGTGCTGTCACCACAGTTATCAGGCTTAGATCCACAGAGATCATGCGTAGATCCCTCTACCGGCTAGCATCAGAATCAAGACAAATACCCACTTACGAGTATCCTTGGTGCCCTTATCTCTGTGTTTAGGTTTAAATCCTACATAATAGAAGACCAGAAAACAAAAGAATAAAGCCTCCACAAGTCGTTTTTATCCTGTATCCAGGGTTAGGCAACCTGAAAGCACAGTGAGATTGAACAGGTCAGTAGAACACATTTGCTCTTTGTGGGAACCGGTACCCAGGGACCCCAGAGATGCACTTTACCTGGACGGCAGGAGGCCGGGGGCAGCAGGGGAGCAGAACTGTAAGAACTGAGGCTGGAGAAATAGGTCAAGATCATAAACTGGAGCACCAGAAATGCCAGGCTAAGTACATGGTGAACCATTGGGAGTTTTTGAACTTGGACTATTTATAACTAAAACTGTGTTTTAGAAAAAATTAATCTGGAATGGATGTTAGCAATAGATGGACATTTCACATTTATAATATTCTCAGAATAATTGGTTAATTCTGCATTTTGACAGTGTATCTGCTCTTTAATTATGCTTAATTATGTAGGGTTATATTTTAACTGGTATAGTTGTTTCATAAAGAACCAGAGGAACATGTGGTTGAAAGGCTACCACAGTAATTGAAACTCGATCATCAACATGCCACTGATGGCAATTTTTTAAGCTTGCCTGCTAAAATCTGCAAAATTCCAAACTAAACTATTTACCAGTTTAATTGTACTCAACCTATTTTCAAAAAGGATGCAAGTTAGCTTAAATTGGAATACAGCTTTAGCAAAATAACAAAACTATGATTTCTTTCTAAGCATTACTTACATGAAATCTCCCTGAACTACTAGACTCAAGGGACATATCCATGATGTTCAAATACTAGAGCCATAGGGGAAAAATCCATCTTTTATTTGCTAGATAAGAATTAGGTCAAAGAAAACATGCTTTATATTTTAGTTTCAGTTCAGATTTCTTTTAAAAAAACTGGGAATCAAAACCATTTGTGACATATTGGGGACAAACACACATACGCAAACAATGATTTTATTATCCTGCATCATTTCCCCAGGAACAGTCACAGAACACATTACTATCTTGAAAAGGATGAAGTTATTCAGAATTGATCTCTTTAGGCTAATATGAATTGGCATAGTATGTCAGCACAAATCCTATCATTTTGGAAAATCTCAAGATAATAAAATAATTTAACTGTATGTTCTGTGAAATTTACAATGCCATCTCCTCAGTCTTCCAGCATTGCCATGCTTCTTCTAAGCTTTTGTCTCCACATCTCTCCTTCTTCAGCTCTCATTTTCTCTTCCTTTCGATCCATCCCTCTCTCTCTCTTTCTCTCTCTCTTTGCAATCTTTTTAGTCTTTCTGTCTTTGAAATGAGATTGGAGGAGCAGCCAGAAGAAAATACATGGTTCATTTTCTTCTAAATATACTCAAATTTCTATTTAAAATAATAGCTTCCTTCTATAATTGTTTTAGAAGCAGTAAGCTGACTTACAAACCACAGCTAATAACAAAAGCAACTCAATTTAGTTCTTTCTAGTAACTGCCTGAGGCACTGGCTAATGGTGAGAGAAAGCTACAAAAAACATTCCAAAGTGGGGAAAACAGCTTCCATTAAATAGCTTTTGTTAAACCAATGTTTTAAAAGGCATATGCTACAATTATAAGTGGGTTAAGGTTGGGAAGACTTTATAAGAGAAAGAATGGGAAAGAAAGGTCATTCCTCCTTAGCATTCTCACACCCTACACAGGAAGGAATGCTGATCTGAACTGACCAAAGCTAAGAACACTGGGCTCTAGTCACTGTGGGCAGAGCTTTCCAAGGAATTAAGCCTTTCTCAGTGTTTGTAATTTCATAGACTCTTTCTAGAACACATAAAAATACTGATAACACCAAAAAAGAAAACCCGGCTTCCTTGGTAGAACTGGGGCTCCTTCCAGGAAGGCTGACATCTTTTAAATTTTGTAGCATGTAAATGTATGACCAATATAGTTCTAAAACATTTCTACAAACCCTTTGCTACTACCCTCCTTAAGAGATGGTCCTTAGTAGGGCCGGGTGCTGTGGCTCAAGCCTGTAATCCCAGCACTTTGGGAGGCCGAGACGGGTGGATCACGAGGTTAAGAGATCGAGACCATTCTGGTCAACATGGTGAAACCCCGTCTCTACTAAAAATACAAAAAATTAGCTGGACATGGTGGCGCGTGCCTGTAATCCCCGCTACTCGGGAGGTTGAGGCAGGAGAATTGCCTGAACCCAGGAGGTGGAGGTTGCGGTGAGCCGAGATCGCGCCATTGCACTCCAGCCTGGGTAACAAGAGCGAAACTCCGTCTCAAAAAAAAAAAAAAAAAAGAGATGGTCCTTAGTTCACCTCTCCTTAACTGTGGGCTGGACTTAGTGTTTCACTTTTATCAATTAAGATATGACAGAAGGGAGGTCATTTCCAATATTAGGTTGTGAACAGCCTATAGCTTCTGTCTTGGGCATTCTTTCTTTCTGAATAATTCACTGTGGAAAAGCCAGATGTGATATTGTGTAAGACAATAGAGAGGCTCACATGGAGTCAGCTGAAGCTGCCAGAAAGAGCGTGGAAGCAGCTTCTCCAATTCTTTCAAATAATTGTTGCCCTGGTCAACAACCTGACTGCAACCTAGTAAGGAACCCTGAGTGGAAACCAGCCAGTCCCTCCTGGATTCCTGACCTTGAGAAACCTTGAGAAAATAGATGTTTGTTGTTTAAGCTGCTGAGTCTTGGAGAAATTTGTTATACAGCAATAGATGACCAACATAATTACCAATTTTTAAAATATAAATCAGCTAATTAGGAAGTGAGAAGTTGTGGTACATTTGCCTGTATGCACCCTCTTTAGTGTCACTTGCTTTTCCTGTACTTGAGTGGTAGCACAGCTTGGAACTACTCCCAAAGGAAAGATGATATGACCATTTCTTCTTTCTCAGTTCCCTTTCTACTCTCTTTCAGCATTGGAACAGTACAGAAGGAGTGCTCTGAGTTTGATTTCCCTGTCCCAGCCAAGTCATTTCTTGATTGCGCTCCCCTTTGGCTGAGCTTATTTGCACAGAGGGTTATTTGACAAAAGGATGCCTTTTCTGGATCTGAAAAAGACCTGATGATATTTTAGTTTTGTTTCTTTCATTCTATGAATTCAAAAATAAGTTTGTTTTTATTACTGTTCTTTATCTTGCTCAGTGCTCTTCCTACTAATATCTCATCTCAACTAGAGAAGGAAGTAGATTAAACAGGCTTTTAAGTCAAAGTAGAAGCTGTGGCCATCAACACATGCCACTCATATCTCCTGCTGCAGGGAGAGTGGGAACAGATAGCACCAGTGGCTATGTTCTGGATCCATCACTAAACCCATGCTTCTCAAGGCTGCTCTTAATACTAGGCAGGGAGAGCACGATGCGGATGCTAAAGCAGGCCCGCTTCTGTAAAATTGGGGGTCTCTTTCACAGGGGACTCCTCTGACAGGTAACTATGTCTCAAGAACCTCCCATTGGCCTACCCCAAATTTTCCTCAAACTGTCTGAGTCAGACACTCTGCCTTTCCAATCCTCCTTCCGGAAGGGATTTCTTCTTCATAAGGGTAACACGCCTGCAGATCTGCTCACCTCCTCCCATTCCCTCCACCTTTTCCCCGTTACACAGGCTTTTCCCAGTAACAATCTTGCACATATAATCTTGGAATCTGCTTCTAAGAGAACCCAACTAATGTATCCTCCTTTCATTCTCACACAGTCAGGAGACTGTTTAAGTAAAGGAGCTTTCCACTGTGCCAAATGCTATGTCATGTGAATTAGGTATCATGGTCTGGGGGCCAATAACCTATACCTGATCTCAGCCAAAATGCCATGAGGCGATAAGGGGACCAAACACCTAAATAGTGATTAAGTGTTAATTTGCCTTATTTTGTTCTCTGTGCATATATCTCAATCACGATTTTCACTGCAAAAAGTCTCTGATCAAGAACATTATGTACATAAATGGCTGGATTTCTACTCATTCTCCTTTTTTTTTTTTTTTTTCCTTAGTAACAGACTCATTACACACCAGGGCAGAAATACACTCAGCCAAAAGTACAATTACACTTTTCTTGTCTGCCTTGTAGGTATATTAGCCAATGTGTTTGTAGGGGAGGAGAAATCTTTTCTTCTATCCATTCTATATTCATGGCTAAGGCCCCTATACTAAAAGACAGACCAGTAAGAAAAAGGCACACAAATTTACTTAATGTAAGTTTGACATGATGTGGAAGATCAGAAGGCAATGAAGACTTGAAAGAATTGGTAAATTTGTGTATTTTTGTGCTAGGTTTTATAAAGAAGTGGACAGCGGTGCAAACATTGTAGATTTTAGAAAGTATGGTCTAACGGTAATAAACTGGGGAGAGCTCAGCAAGGCCCGTTTACTCAGATTCTTCCCTGGGACCCTGTGTCTTCCGTGATGAGGATGTTCCTTTACTCTGCCTATCAGAAAGTCACCTCTGGCCTGAGGGTCTTATGACCTGCTTGGAGAAACATCAGAAAATCTTTCCTAGGTTTTATTACATGCTTCAGGGGAAAAGGCTACAGGGAAGGAGAGAGTGACCTTCTTGCTTCTGCTGTTTTCTCAAATGTCTCATTACGGGGTGGCTTGTCCTGAACCCCATCATTGTGCAAGGAGAAATCATTACTTTAAGGAAACTTTCATTGGGAGTGTTGAGGCAGCTGGGACACAAGGGACACTTTGGTCATTTATCCCTTCTCTTTCTTTTCTGTCTCTAATGACCATATGACAGCTGGAGTTTGAGAAGCCTTCTTCCAAACATGATTTGATTTTAAGAATAGAATTAAGCCTTGAAATATGGTGAAGACTTCCTTTGTGTGAAAGTAAGTAAATTTCTATCTTGTTAAAGGTACAATTATTTGAGGTCACTGTTACTACCAGTAAAACTTACTCCTAACTGATAGATGGACTCATTCATTAATCTTTGATCAATGACCATCTCTCATTGCCAACTTCTTAATAGCACCCTATTGACCCTAATTGTTGGTATAGTTAAAGGCACCCATTTTCAAAATAACTTACCATTTACAAGCAAAACTAATACAGAAAAATTTGACATTTTGAAAAGCTACATTAGAAAATGGTTAGTCTTATAAAAGATTTTATGTCCCAAAAAGTATTTGCTTTAGCACTTTATTAAGTAAATTCTACTGTGTCTCAAAATTCATTCATATATTATTTAATTCATGATAGATACTGTTGTTGGGGAAAGAAGCAGGAAGCCTACTAGAAAAACTTAACACTAAATTGTGTAAAGTTTTTCACACTGAAGAAGAATGAGAAAAGAAGACGTAGGCTCTGCTAATGATAGGTCTAGTGCAAGGCTGTTATCTCCACAATACGAGCTCTATTCATTTCTCATCTTAATCTATACTAGTTTGTTAGATTCTGCTTGCCATATTACTCGCATACCTGAAATAGAGTCTGCTAGTTACCTACCAAGATCTTTTTTCCCTTTTCCTATGTGTTCATGGTAATAGGGTTAAAGCTTATTTATGGCAATCCAGATAAAGACAATACTTTACACCTTTCTTACAGCTAGGTTTGGACCTGCAATTAATTGACTAGTTTCCTCTGTTTAGAAGAGAACATTTTTTTCTAAACTTCCCTCTATTTTCTGGAAGCTGAAAGAGGACAATGCCAGGACCACATCTGGCATCAACCATATAGAAAAGGGCAAAGTGGAAGGGGATTTGGAAGCTTCTTTAACAACTTTGCAGGTATGGTTTATCTTTGCATTTGTTTAAGCATTAATAATTTCCTTCAATAATGTTTTGTAGCTGTCAGTGTTGAGAACATTTTTCTTAGCTTTTTCGTAAGAATCATTTTTAAATTTAACATTTGTTTATTACTAGTATATAGAAATACTTCCGATATATATATATCAAACTTGCATCTAGCAGCTTTGATAAATTCACTTACTAATTCTAATAGCTTATCTGTAGTGTCTACAGTTTTTTAAATACATTATCAGTTTGCCCTGAATCATATCGCTTTCTTCCTTTCTGGCCCTTTCACATGTTATTTTTTTATCTTGTCTTATCATAAGTAATAAGACTTTTGTATGATAATAAATAGAAGTGCTGTGAAGAAGACTTTCTCATATTCTTAATCAGAATCCAAATTCTGATTAAGTAGGTCTGTAGTGTGACCTGAAATTCTACATTTATTTCTTTTTAAATATGTATGTATGTATGTATGTATGTATGTATGTATGTATGTATGTATGCATTTAGAGATAGAGTCTCGCTGTCACCCAAGCTGGAGTGCAGTGGTGAGATTTCAGCTCACTACAACCTCCACCTTCTGGGTTTAAGCGATTTTCCTGACTCAGCCTCCCAAGTAGCTGGGATTACAGGCATGTGCCACCACTCACAGCTAATTTTTTGGTATTTTTTGTAGAGATGGGGTTTTGCTGTGTTGGCCTCAGGTGATCTATGCGCTTCAGCCTCCCAAAGTGCTGATATTACAGGCATGAGCCACTGCACCCAGCCAAAAGTCTACATTTCCAACAATATTCCAGGTGATGCCGTGTTATCAATCTACAAATCTTATTTTAAGTAGCAAAGGTGCAGTGAATATCCTTGTCTGATTCTCAGTACTGGGGATGGAGCATTCAATGTTGCTGCCATACACAAGGTGTGTTCTAGAGGTTTTTTGCTTCTTTGATTTTGTGGATATCATGTATCAGATTATGGCATTTTTTTGTTTCTAGTTGATTTGTTAAAATTATTGAATATTATAGTTTATCAAATTATTTTGCTACTTTCAATATAATTCTCATTTTTTGTAGTGTTCTGTTAATGTGGTGAATTACAATGATTTTCAAAATTGAATCAACCTTGCATTCCTGAGATCAGTTCAACTAGGGTATGATATAATATTCTGGTTATGTGTTGTTAGATTCAATTTGCTAATATGCGGTTTAAGACTTTTATGTCTATGTTCACCAGTAAAATTGGAAGGTAATTTTCATTTCTTTTAATATGCCTTTCAAGTTGTGGTGTTATGATTATATTGACCTCATAATTTAATTTGGGAAATGGTCCCTTTATTTTTATGTTCTGAAAGGATTTGTGTAAGAATGGTTTATTTCTTCCTTAACCGAAAGAATTTACTGTTATAGCATGTAGGCTTATAATTTTATTTTATTTTTACAAGTTATTAGTAGGGGATTTAATTAGATAGAATATTTTTAGTTTGTGTCATTACCTCTTGTGTCAATTTTGGTAAACTTTGTTTTCCTAGGAAATTTTTCTTTTATTTAAATTTCCAAATTTATTGTCACAAAGTTATTCATAATATTTTCTTATGATCCGAAAAAGTTGTCATGACATCTCTTTTTCATTCCTGTGATTTGGAATCTGTACCTTTTCGTTTTCTTGATAAGCCTTGCCAGATATTAATAAATTTCACCATTTCTTAAAGTAATTGATTTGGTTTATCATTCGTTGTCTCCATTTATTTGTTTTCTATTGTATTCATTTATGGATGTCTTCTTCCTTTTTTTTCCCCTTTGGGTTTCTTTTTCTGTACTTATCCAACTTTTTGAGACAGTATCTAGATTATCAAATTTTTAGTCTTTCTACTCTTCAAATTTAATGCATTTAAAATTACAGATATCCCTCTACCAGTTTAGCTACATCCAATGAATTCTGATGTCTATTTTTATTATTATACATTAAAAATATTTTCTGTTATCTACTGAGAATGCTTCTTTGATACTTGAGTCAATTACTATTTCTAATTTTTCTAATCTTCAACATTTGGGGATTTTTTGATTAACCTTTTTCTATCAGTTTCAATATTAATTCTACTATAATCAGAAATATTCTGATTGACTTTTTATTCTTTGAAAGACGTAGGGATTGGTTTTATGCCTAGCATATCATCAGTTTTGATAAGTGACTCGTATACATATTTACTTCCCTTCTTTCACCACATTTTGTGCTATTGCCATGATTTTGAATTCTGTATATATTTTAAGTTTTATCAAAACACTATTGCTTTTTTGTTTACTCAATATTTATTAATTTTTTCCCATACCTTTATCTTGTTTCTTCATTAATTCCTGCAATGTTATGTCTTTGTCTAGAGTAACTTTTCATCTTCCTGAAACCTTATTTATTTATTTATTTAAATTCAGGTCTTCTGGCAATGAACTTCTGTTTGTCTGCAAATGTCTATATTTAACAGGAACTGTTGAAAGATCATTTTCAAGAGTATGTTATTTTAGATTGTCACCTATTTTCGAACTCTTTAAAATTGTCATTCTATTGCCAGCTGGCTTCTACCACTTCTATGAGAAATTAGCTGTATTTCTTGTTGCTTCTTTGTAGACAATAACATTTTATTCTCCTCTGGTTTTGTTTAATGTTTTGCTTTTTTTTTTTTTTTGGAAATTATATGATTAGGTATCCAGAGGTGATTTGTTTGCATTTATCCTACTTGGTGTTCATGTTTCCTCCTGAATTTTTGAGTTAATATTTTAGAACTAATTTTTTCATTATCTTTTAAATATTGTTTCTTCACATTTTCTCTTTCCTGCCCTCCTGAGACTTTAGCTGCACATATGTTAGATTATTTCACAGTTCCAACATATCTCTTATGCTTTTTATAAATTTTCCATCCTTTTTCATCTTTGTTTAAGCCTGAATATTTTCTACCATCATAATTTTAAATTTACAAAACCATTCTTTTGTGTTTAGTCTGGGGTCAAACCCATCTACTCGTTTTTAAATTTTTTATGATATTTTGTGACTCTCTAATTTTCATTTGATTCCTTTTATGGATTTCAGTTCTCCACTGAAATATTTCATTTTGTCATACATTGTTTTTAACATGATAATCTGTTATTGTAAAGTATACGTAAAATAACTCCTGGAAATTTTGGATAGTTTTTTACCTCTTGATTCTGACATATCTGTAAATTCTTTTCTGAATGACAGATGTCATAAAAAAAATTGAAGTGATTCAAGACAATACATTCACTTTATCCTCTGGCAGGCTGCCTGAGTCGAGATGATCATATTAATCTAATCAAGAAATGAATCAACTGAATCGCAATTTTATAGGTCTCTTCCACCTCTGGTTCTACCCTGTGTCCACGCCTGCCCTGATTTCTAGGATTCTTCTTTGATAAGTCCTGAACTCTAGTTAACATGTTCTCAGCACTGGAAGATTGGAATGAATTCAACTCCTTCACAGACTTTTGATTGATTTTGTTGCCTGTCACCTTACACAACATAAAATTTGTCAAATGCATATCTGGGAGCTAAAACTTTTATCTTATGGATATAGAGAATCCAGTGATAGATACTAGAGATTGGAAGGGGTGGATGGAGATGATGGAGGGGACAGGAGCAGTTGGTTATGGATATAAACATACAGTTAGATGGAAGAAGTAAGTTCTAATGTTTGACAGCAGATCCGGGTGACTATCTTTAGCAAAAATAGTGTGTCTGTTTCAGAGTAACTAGGAGAGAGAACTGGAAATAATGTCAACATATAAAAATAATAAACATTCAAGGTGATGAATACCCTGATGACCCTGTCTTGATCATTACACATCCTTTGCATGTAACACTTAAATGTATCCCTGAAACATGTAAATTATTATATATCAATAAAAGGAATAAAAAACCTGAAGAATTGGGAACAAAATACTGTCAAATGCCGAGGGGGAATGTAAAAGTATCTTGGACTCATTTCTCTGTGCATTCTTTCTCTCAAGGTTATCTTCCTTTATGCTCCAGCCTCAACATTTTTAAAAGCAATTGTCAAATTTTAGTAATATTTAGAAATCCAGACTCTATGTTGGAAAATAAAAAAGTGAGAGCTCTTAATTGCACAGTTAACCAGAAAAATGTGAAAGACCTTTATATTTCTTGTCTCTATAGAGATCTATTTTATGTTATCAAAATTTTATAATTTTATTAAACGACAAATAGGCAGTCTAATTAATATTCAACACTAAACTTAATAAAATCTAACATGCTTAGTTGATCCTACCTTTTAAGCTGACATGACTAGAAACCAACTGGTCAGGCAATAGCCAAAGTCAAAATGGAAAATAAATACACTCGGAGCACTTTCTCTTTTGCATATGCAATAGTCTGTGCTGAGATTTCAAAATGGCTGATTTTGAGTCACTGACAGATAGCATTTTTAAAGTTGGTTGTTTTTATTAGGTGAAGAGTAAAGTTGGCATCCTGTTGAGATGAAATTCAGTGAGGTTTATGGTTGTTCTTTCCATTTCTGGGCTCTTGTCCTATGAGATATTATCCATTTCAAAAAGTTGTGCTATTTCAGCAATTTCTTGTTCAACATTGACAGTTGCCATTTCACAAATATTAGAGAGATTGAAAAGACCTATAAGATCATTAAATCTATCCCCCTGGCACTGTAGGCGAAGCAAGTGAAGCAAAACTATTATTTTTCGTGTGGGTTATATTTGGTAGGGTCGTTTCTAGTAAAAATAATATTGAGTGAACTGGGCGAGGGTGCCTAGACAAGTAAAAAGTTTCTGGCTGGAAGTTTTATTGTTGCTTTTCTTTTTTTATCAGTTTGAATATTATTAATAATTGGGTGCCCATTTTATATCCCAAATGCATATTTTTGTAAAACAAATTGTGAGTTCAGTTTATACTCTTCATTTAAAGCTCACATTCTGGTTAATTTTAGCATTGATTTGATAAGCTAGTTTTGAATGGATTTCCAC